TGCATGACCTCTTCGAAACCATCCAAAGAAATATGAGGCACCAATAAATGCTCACAGAACACAAATATCGCTCATCCTAATGTGCCACCTCCCTGAGACATCCATCTATGGTCGTGACTAGAAAACAGTGAACGGCATAAAGGTTGCGGAAGCAACATTTGTAACACATGTCCAGACCGCCGAGTCCAGTTTCAAGATGACTTCAACCAGTGGATAACGATCTGAATCACGCCCAAACACGCAGTGTCTCAACCTAATAATAAATACATTGCTTTCCAACCGAAAGGTGGCGATTTTGCAGAGAGGGTGGCAATAGGGAACACGAAGATATTTAGCATCTTCAGCTCGGAGGCCAGATTTTACAAACGTAGAATAAAATTGCTCACAGAGACCCAGCCTTTTACAGTCCAGCTAATGTCATAATGGCAATCCAGGTGACTCACATTGATATATGCTGTTCTCTCTGTCGACATACGGCCAGAAATCTCATCGGTCACATCACTGACACCCATATAACCAACCAGATACACGAATTCCCGTAGTTCATCACCGGGCATGAATGCAGACATAGGCTACTACCAGTCTTGTTAAAGAACTATCCACTTTGATGGTGCAAAGCACATACTTATTGAAAACGATTGAACATGATTCGGGCAACATCTTTGTTGGACAGTAAAATGATACTATCCATATAATAAAAACGTCTTTCTCCTGGTGGTAGGTAGATCTAGATATTGGACAACTTTCAGAATTATCATCATCGATGACAAAACAAGGGGAATGAACATATAAGACAACCGTACCCAACCTCGCAGTCCATTTGCAATAGTACGGAGAGAAAGTTGTACGCACCTACTCTACATGGCGTTTTAATACAGGGCTTTCAATATGCTTACAAGCCACTCAGGGATACTCCATATTTTACACAACTGCAGAATAGTCCTGTTCAAAGAATCTAAGGTAGCTTAATTTCAAGAAGCACTTTTTCTGGTTTTAAATACGCGTGACAGGGTCCAAGCCTATAACGGGGTTGTAACAAGTATTCAACGCATCTATGACCTGAACAAAACCAGAATTGCTTCTCATGAACCAGCTTACTAGGCCTAGTAAAGAGCTTGGTACCACCCAGACTTTTGGATGTAGATGATAATTGCCTGATTTCCCGACAACTATCATATATATTACACAAGCCCTTTTGAAAACTGAGAACGAAGATGACGCTATTACTGAGTGATGGGACACTTTTAGTTTCCCATACCTTAAACGAACAAGTCAGTCCCGTTGATTGCAACCTCATTTTCGTCCTTAAAAAGAACCCGAGGTAAGTTGTCTAAGTTGAGTGCTTCGTAATCGGAGTTCTTTCTGAACACTCAATTCATTAGGTGGGTCGGTATGCACCAGATATGAAAAACAAAACACTAAATTCATAGTTCCCCGAATGATAGACTAGCTAAATTGCTCTCCGGAGTGCTGCACTTAGCGTCTATAATGACAAATGATCAGCGTACCACTTACTTCGCAGATCACCTCACTGACTTCAAGGTGTTGTTGACTTGAATGAGTTATAGCAGCTTCTGAATTCCCCCAGATGCGTCACTATTCCCACCCATATAGTTTATTTCGACCACCAAGCCTTCCAGTTTTTATGAGTCCTGTGTGAACCATACTGTAACGAAAGCATACCACTTTACTCCCTTTCTACTGGAATAAACCGACAAGTTTCAAGAAGTTGCGGTGTTCACGAAGAGCTGTTACTTGTTAGTAGGACGTTCTTAACAAGCACAAAACCTATTTCATGACACCTTGTAGTTTCGACAAGTGCTCATGATTACTTCATCAGTGGCTGACAACTAGCTTCGAACTTAAATCGCTTTCGTATTAAGACGCTTAATCGAACCTGTTTAGAAAGTCAATGTTGATGACCTTCAGAACACAAGATGAACTTAATGCACTATAAAGTGTGACAAGGAGCTGCTACGAAAGGAGCGGCAGTTCCAAAGACACCCATCGCACTGACGTCTTATTACAATGTGAAATATTCAGTTATAGTCTTGAGAAGTAGGAGGATGAAAGATAGCACGACAGCAATGGCTGTCGGAAGTTACTGCTAGATAGAAATGCACTGCTTTACAGTCAATCAGTATGAACATGGGACGTGACATTACTACGTAACGGTTCGAACTTTTGGACCACATCCAGATGTAAGGCAACAAGACAATACATAAAGGAATTGAAGTAGCATAATCCGGCGTTTCAAGTAAGGGCAAAAGGCAGATGCAATGACGCAGATAACAAAACGTAATATAACGGTTAGAATGATGAAGGGTGAACTGATTCGCGACACAAAGATTCTGACCCATATCGCCCAAAACTGCGAAAGATCCTCGTTAACAACGTAAACGACTCTCATAAAGGGCTACAATGTTCAACTTGCGTATTGAAGCCCACAGTCATTACTACGGTATTTACCAAGCCCACTTGGTTGCCCCTAGACCGACAGCAGAACACATTTTTAACCTCATCCGAGATGCCATCTGACAAAGGGACACCAAATATCATTAGATGTTAATTCATTTTCGCAGACGATCTGAAGTTTAGGAGAATGTATGCAGTGATAATGACGGGCTCTCGCAACAGGACTTAACCACCTGGGTGGAATATTCCTAAAAATGGAGAAAAAAGGTGGTTATGCACACTGATCATAACAATCTGCATGGCTACTAAAATACTGGCTTCTCACCGCTCTGGATTTTTGAGCAAAACAATTTAGGAGTCATCGTAACTCATGAGGGCAGCGAACCATAGGGAGGCAGCTGCCACCAGTCTATCCAATATTATAGTCTCTTCACAAGGTGTTTGCGGTATTATATGCGACCTAGAATACGGGAAACAAGTGACATGGCTGTTTCAAACATAAGGCAGATATGCTAGCACAGGATGGAAGCGAAAAGAATGGGATGAAAGAAGGTCTTTCAAGCTTCAACCATAGGAAAGTGACTAGATCGGTTCTCTTTATCTTATGTGGACTGAGACCAAATATTACTACTCTACATCTAAGTTGATCTGATTTATCTCTCTGCCCTAGGAATGGTCATTTGAGTGGATACCACCTTAGCGCTAAAAGAGTAAGATAAAATCATATCTGAAAATTAAATTTCCTCATCCAGTAAAACCCCATTAGGATACGTAGTCTTATCATCTTTCATCAATTTCTTCGGAAGAACAATGGACCCCAGCAGACTGTGAAACACGAGGATCTACACAGAAGTCTGTACTACTGTCCTTGTTTCTGTAAACGGTATACAGAATACATAACTATGCACTTTTATTTTAGAGCACTGGCTCATTGGTTCAGATCGACTTTCAACTGGTGGGTTGAATACAAACCCCACTTCACCTACCGAGACTTGGTCAGTCAGGATGCACTACACATATAAGTGCAGCTCATCGTCTAGCGCACGTCAAAGGAAGTAGATGATTAAATTAATTTGGACTCAACACGAATTTAAATATTTTCTCTACGAGTCTTGACAGGAGAATTTGGCAGTCTAGGAAAAAGACGAAACTAGGTTATGTTCTTAGGTTGGGCAGACTGTAATGACCTCCTGATTATGTACACCCTCGAAATTAGATCGAGAGGGTACTCAGGACGTAAGCACATCTGAACATATGCATTTATACTAGAATAATCTTTTTAAAGGCACGTTCACTTTCCCCTTAGTACAAAAACTACTGTTAAGTTGGCATACGTCCATCATAGGTTAAGGTTAATATCCACTAAACTATGCGGTCTGTATAAATACTCGATAACTACCATGATCAGTTCACTAGTTACAGATCTGCATGCACTTAAGACCTTCGGCACTTAATGTGCTGTTAAGATAAGGCCTTGTTGGACACATCATTTTTGCAATGGTGAAATAAAGGATTTGATTTTGTTCGTTTTTCTTACCGGAACTAAAGCGATGCAAGTAAAATACAGAAGGCATCTGTGTATCAAGATTGTACTAGAACCCCATGCCATGCATACACCTGCAAGACAGCAACATTACGCAACTGAACGAAATCACGTTAAGGAATCACAAGTTTCAAACACAGTGAACATATGGTCCAAGACTCTGGTAAGTCAGCTTCGGAACCTGTTCGACCTGATATGGGCAATGTGCTGACAGCTCTAAAATCAATTATGACTTGGTTTTACGTGCATTTACGATGTTGACACGTCCTGTGATGTGAAGGAATTTTTTTAGCAGATTCAGTAAAGTGAATCAAGAAAGTTCTCCTGGTATGCAAACAGCTATTACCAATATGCCTGCAGTTTAATGCTCTCTAGACAATAAAACTTAAAATGCATCAGTTGGACAAACAACTAAAGACTAATACTTGAGATTAGCTATATTGTTTACATGCCTAGATAATTCACGTACATTATCAGAACATTATTTGAATAGCAACTATGAAAGCACATCAGCATACGCTGTTCTAAGAAATAACCTTATCAGCCTAGATTCGTTGAGCAGAATTGCTGGAGAATTATGTTCGCCGAGATGAAATCCTAGTACATTTTCTTATACTATTGAGTGAAACCAACAGAACTTAGTGACTCCAGTTAGCTTAACTGAGATTGGATTCAGAGTATTATGTTTAGTACGGAAGCTTTTGACTTTCAACTAGACTGGATTTGCAAATAAATATCATGAGATATACAAGTTTATATAACAATGAGCGACCTCACCTGCAAACCCACACAGCATCTCGACTACCTAGACCAAACATATGAGTCAACTACAACAAGCATACCCTTGTGCAAACGTATGACGCCTAAGAACATGAAGGATTTAATACCAATTCTGTAGAAAGACTCGGGTCATGTTTTAGCCTGAGGTTAGTCTGACATTAACGAAAATAGGCATGGAGATACACTAAACAGATGAAGATCGCAGGCCTGGACAGCGCAACGTACTTTTCACCTCTGGTGATAAATCAGAAACTACTACATTGTCCAGTGACGTGTATTAAAAAGTTTAATAACCAGCGTTTTCCTTCATCATCTGCCTTTTCATTTTCTTCTTAGACTCCTTCTTCTTAACTAGTTGTGGAGCAGCTGCAGGTACCTTGGGGACAATATCGTCTTTCGTAGCTAGAATAACTTCCACATGGCATGGTGAACACATATAGGGATTAATCCGACCATGGGCCCGGTATGTGCGACGTCTCATTTTAGGAGCTTGATTAACCTAACATGGTAAATGAAAACTCAGCAACGTTACCTGAATATGCTTTATATACAGACGACTAGCTTCACCTCCTTTGATATCTTTGTATACACCATTGCTGAAGGCGTTATGAAGGAGTTGAAGTAACATCTGGGCTGACTTCTTTGGCCACCTGCCCTGTGTTGTTTTCCACACTTTCGCCTGAGCATGACGACCAACACCACCATTAAATGTGCGGAAAGGGATGATTTCCTTCTTTTCAATAACGTTTTTCAAGTACGTCTGTGCTCGTTGAAGCGTCATTCCCTGTCAAACCACATTAATAGGTGCGAGCACTGTTACCTTCACTGCGCATGCACATTCATGCATATTTTTGAAATGTGTCCGTAAATACGGTATCCGAGCCTTACAAGTCTTGCCCTCATCTTCATCTTTCGGTTCCCAAGAGTACTTTACCATTATCCCACTTGGTCAAACGCGCCAAAAAACGTGGTAGTGCAAACTAACCGCTCCGTGTCGAGCAAGTACGAAAAACAACGATCATTAGTGGTACGTATGTTTTAGCTTCACTAATCGGGAATAAATGTATAAAGTGAACTGACTTCCATATATCTTTACGATTTTTCAGTGCTATGACAATCTGATCTTGATGTTAAGCTTTTGACAGAATGTTAGAAGGGAAGCATGATCTAACCGTTATTTAACATTTTAGCTCTTGCTCTGCAATAAACAAATGGAGGCTCTATTATCACTGGAATTAATCTTCTTAAGCCTTCAGTCTGATATTTATGCCATAATTTTACGTATATTTCCGTTTTTACCAAGATCTGAGGCTTCTCCTCCATCACTAGTTTGATCGAATTTATTAACGCTACAGTTTTACGATTTTTCGAGTTTTTAATAGTAATTTGAGCCGTGTTTTTTCAAACATTATATGCTTTCATGGCAATGATCGCCAATCAACAGATGTGCAAGAAGAATGGTTGTTCAGGCTGAAAGACAACGTAGTATTTTCAAGAGGTTGTTTGATGAAGCTTGCACAAATTTAGCTCATTCTGAGTACCCTTAACTCAGAAAGCATGGCCGTAAGTGGCACCGACACTTGGTTAGATCTGAGTTGATGGGCATACTTGAGAACATCACCAATATGTTAATGGATATCAGGAAAAAGCTGACAGCAAACCGTGAAAAGGGGGTTGGTGAGCTGGAAAACTAGAAGGCGCCAACTAAGTACGAGGAGTTCGGAAACCGGCCAACGGAAAAAATGCTGAAGTCACCCGACAAGAGCAAGGAAAGTGCTTTACTGGAGGTACAATGCACCTCAGTAGTGTAATAACACCGACTGTCTCACAGTCATTCGGTAAGGTTTTATCGTCAACACATGAGGCACAAGATGCAACGGTCATACTGAGAAAGGGTGCTCAGGATAAATTACAGACATCCGTTTTCCGAAATAAAAATAGTTGGTTTTCAATTCCAGCCAAACTCATTGGCTCTGGGAAGGCAGGAAGCGCTGGGAATAAGCTGGAATAGAGGGGTGGGGAAATAAGAGATGCCGAAACTAAGTATGCAAGGAAGTCACAAGCAGACCATGCAAGACACTCATAAACCTGTCAGAAAAAACTAAATGACATCATCGTGAACAAACATTTGCTAAAAATATTCTTCGAACAAATCGAAACTGTTGAGTTAACTAAGAACAGGGCCAAGTGAAAGAAAAAACTAAAGTCCAATAAAAACTGCCCAAGTCTCAACAGGCATCGATATAAATTGCTACTTTGGTTATTCTGTGTTTATCACGCACCTGAAAGACGCCCCTGGCCTCACGTACACCCTTCAGACTAAAAATCACAGCGTATTGTGGGAAAACATACGCAGCGAACTGAAGCCGAACCACATTGGGCCAATAGCCACAACTGAGCTGATGTGCTGTCGTGATCCAGTAATCAAGGATAAACCTAGCCCTTAAGGCTGACATCCTCCATTTCGGATGTTCTTGAGGATGTGCTCTTAACGTGCCACATGCAAAAAGCTAAAGAGGCAGCAAGAATTCTACTAAATGTCCCATAGTGTGGGAGAAAGACTATAAAGGAACTCTCGAGAGACAATAGCAAGGCCTAATCTAGGGGGAGGAACCTGATAATACAAGGCATACTCAGTCACCAAGGGTATCCTTCACAATATCCGTCATTGAATGCGCCTTAAGAATACCGTGTACCTTAAGCGCACGATAGCACAGGGCGTCTCACAGATGTCTAAGAAACATGATATCCCTAGGCCGAGGTTGGCCAAAATAGTATTTCCGGCCTCCTAGGTGGAAGCAACAACACTGGAGGCACTATGGGTGAATAGAAATCGCTTGCGACTTGGAGTCCGCACGCGGGCTGACGGGTCACAGACCGAGAGGTTGCAACAAAAATGGAAAAAATTGGGGTCGAAGGACTGCTTGGATGCGAAAAGCGGGTAATGGCAGGGGACACCTCACTAGTAATCCGCACTTACGCAGGTTCCCAGCCCCCGCGCCCGAGGATTTAGCCAGCCAGCAGACTGGGATCAAGAAACCCACTCAAAAGTAAACGTTACAAACTTCACCCGCACAAGTGCACGAAGTTCACCGAGCAAAGTCGATGAGTTATGGGAACCATGTTAGGACTTGATGCTCATCTTATAGGTGTTGCTGAGACATCGGCGTCTGCTGGTATGTCGGGTCAGGAGCCGGAATTTGCCGACACCGCACTGTCTCGCAACGACAATAAGCCTGGTCATTTGAGCCAGATGGACCATTCTATGAAAGGCGCACCGGGCAAAATAATTTCGTGTACTTATTCTGTATGACAACGAGAGTTCCAGGGATCGATTGTTCGATTGATGTTTCTGAACTCTTCAGTGATGTCATCTTGAGTGATCTGTCACAGAGGTGCATGGATAAGATGAACTAGGGCGCAAATCACTGGTCTGGTTACGGCAGGCTGGGGTGGTTTTTCTCCTCAACCTTCGGTAAGATAATGAAAAAAGGTCAACTTGACGTAGTTTCTCTTCCTAAGGCAAGTTAGAAGGCAGTTGACAATTTGGAACCATTCTAACATATCTACTTCTTATCGAAAGCACATACTCTCTACTCAGGTTTCATACTCCCGACAACCTCTGACGTACACTGGATATAAAGTTCAAAACATGTCCTCATCGAAGCACTGAAAGTTCTTCAGAGGGGAACAGAGTATTTGGAGGCGTCGACAGCTAATACTCCAGTTATTCGTGAGATGGCATATTATTAACCGTGCAGTCATGTAACCGGTATAAATGGCAACAATCCTACTACTGCTGACACGAACCAACCGCCTACTGGAGGAACCGATATATGCTTTCGGGTTTATTGTGGGACCGCATACAGCTCTCGAAAGTTCAAGAACACTTCCAAATACAAGACAAGGTGACCTAGTATTCATCAGTAGTTCGTTACCGTAGAGCGTGGAAAAAAGAAGCCCGAAAACTGTGACCTTTTTCTGTGATATATTTTGGGGCAAACTGTTTTATGTCTTCCAGTAGCTTACCGACTCCATCCACAGGACTAACCGGAAGATAGCCTCAGTTTGTTTTTGTCTGGTTCAGTGACATTCATTAAGTTAGGCGATGACACCCACCAGTGCTGACAAGGCGTGAACATGCAGCCCGTCCCTACCAAGAGACTTCAGACAGAATCAAAGGATTAGGAGCAGAGAAGAAAAAACATTCACCCGACCAACTCTCCGAAATCACTAGAGTGAGCGTAAGAAACTTGTAACTTCCAATCTCAGGCATCTAGTTCTTGTAGTTTGGTTCCTGTTGGCTGGTTTGTTCCTGCAGTGAGCAAGGAAACGTCTTCTGCTTCCCGGATCTTGGTTGGGGGGACATAAGTGCATTTATGAGCTGGTATTCTAATTTGTAGATTGAGGTGGCTAGGGGGCTGCGGGTTACAGGGACGACTAAGGTCCTTTCGTGACTCCCGTCTTATTGGGGCCTAAATAGTAGCAAAGAGATGGTGGAAAAAGGCAGACAGGACTTGTCCGAAAGGTAAAAGTAGACAGTAAGCGTTTAGTTACTACAGGATAGCTATTAGACAATGCAGACGTATCAAAAAGAGAGATGGGAGGAGGTGAATGAGAAGGAAGTAGTGGTGGGGTGGCGGTGTCAGTAATGGCTGAGCGTGCTTGCAGTAAGCCACATAAACAGACGTAGCTGTCTAGCCGTCTTTTGTATGGCTATGCTACATCTCGAACTGATGCATTCCATCAAGCACATAGCCTTGAGGAAAAGCCTGACCTGAGCCTGGTTTTGGCTCTGTGATCTGTTGTCCTGATGGGGCTCCCCTCGCGATGACCATCGTGTTTTTAACTCCAGTCTGTTTGTGTGGCTCCCTCGCCGGACGTTATTGTGGGCCACATTTGGGTCAGCCCTGCTTATCACTCTTCATCCAACACCTCCAATAAACACCTTAAGGATGTCTCCATTGAGCATTCCCCTCGTAACTTTTAATTCTACCTTTATACCTGACCCATCTTCATTGCAGACTGTCCTCTATACCAGTCCTAAAGGCAGTCCGCAATATCCGACGCTATCGTGACTGAACCACCTGTCTGGATGTTTCTCTCAGAATTCGTCCACCTATGCCACTGTTGTAATAAGAAGACATACTCCCTGGATCGACGCTTTCCGGACACCTCTGCAAGATCATTGGCTTGTCACCACCTCTTAGGAGACCTACCGCTCCTATGTATTCCGCCGAGCCATTCTAAGTTGCCCCTGAACAGCGGCAGCCTTGTTAGAGCTTGTTCTGTTAGGTCCTCCACGTCGGATGTGAGTGGAACCAATGGATGGTTGCTGATTACACGTTCATCTTCTTTCTTAGTTGTTATGAGACCCTCATTCCTTAGTGCCTGCTCATCCATCAGAGCATCTAATATTTGGTGCGTCGTGCGCAACATGCGTCCCTAAAGCCCGCTCTAGTGGCTTGTCACCTGAGGATTGAAATTCCAGCCAACTCCCCCACCAAGCAAGTAACTGTGAATCAGTTCCTGTTTTCATTGTCTCATGTACTTATCAAGCTTGCTCCTGCACCCCACATAGTTAGACCAGTTATCGCTGAATATCCCCCTCGGGTCTCCTTTGAGTAAACTTAACATGCACTCTGTTGGCATATTCCCACCATTGATTTCTCGTACCCTCTGACTTAGTTCGCTTGGAGGTATTCACTGTACAACCCGTTACCAGCTGCTGATATGCCCGCTTAGTGCTAAACCTTCTCCCTCCAGAACATGATGTGGCCACTCAGCCAAAGTAATAGCCTTGGAGACGCTATTAGAGGCCAAATAATCATCTACATAGAAATTTTTATTAACAACCTCTACGGCCGCACTATGCTCTTCAAAACTGAAAGTGTCTATGGTCCTTCTGAAAGCAGTGCTCGCAGAGAACGGCGACGAGACCACACCAAACAGATGGACAGCCAAATGACGTTCAGTAACCTCCAGGTCTATGTCACCATGCTTCCAGCATTAGAGAAGAAATGCTGGTCTGTTGTGTTCCAGAACCCTGATTTGCAAGAGATATACTTCT